GCCCAAAACCAAATGGGCAAGGGAATATGTGTAGGGTGGGTTTGAAGTCTCGAAGTAATCTTCGACTTAAAAAGCAAACTACAAATCCAGTGCGATTTTTCATCTCGTTTCCTTGCATACTCTCCTGTACAGGCCCATTTGTATTTCTTCAACACCCACATAGCCAACCTGTAATTTATACAGCAACAATTCTTTGCACACCTTTGTTACTGTTCAAATAGGTGCCCCACCAGAATCAAATAGGGTTTTGAATTCAGTTTTCTTCCTATACCTCTTGTCAACCTCTGCTACAGAGTAGTCTGTTATTTAGCACATAGCTGGGTGTGGGGGAATAGATGAATTTATATCTTTCCCCAAGGGCATTTTCGAAAGTGAAGGTAACGACCTCGACAGAAATTTGAACTTCTCAAATTCACGTTCCGAAACTTCTACCTATTACATATCCTACACTTCCTATAAACTAAACTTGTAAACAATCGTTATTGGAAATTTTAGTATTGTATCTCGACTCGAACACCGATCTCCAGCATCTTTTCTATCCGTATCCCTCCAGCTCGTTGGCAATCATGGCTCTACACAATTTCCTGTCTTTTGAAGGTCTTAATAAATTTAGTTTGTTATCACTACTAAAGCTGTCTTCGTTTTGTCTGGTTGACACACGCCCGGACGTGCGAGAACCAGAAAAGACGAACACAAGCTATCTCGGCCCACTTCCATGATGTCCACCACTCTTTCTTTTTGTGACCGAATTATACGCTAGAGTCTGGTTCTTCTATGGTGAGAGCCGCACACAGGGTTAGATCTCCACTGCAATTAAAGGAGTGATTACTACTCCTCCTAGATCGCGTCCATCTTGGAATCAGGAGGTCCAAAACAAGTGGCCTCTCTCGAGCCACCAGTACGTCCATCCTACAGGATTTCCAACTTGCAACCGGAAAGCAACGACTCCGATCCCACAACAGGCTCTGGTCTTTCCGTCTATCGATGTTACGTATACGCGATTTCTTCCACAACTGGTATATCTCTCTCTGCTGGCTATAGAGAGCGAACAACCGGTATCGACCAGCGCATAACTGCCGTTCTGCCGTCAAACTGGGCTGGAGAAGATCCTAGCATTGACATACCTCTTCTCGGGTTTTTCCCGAACAGTTTCGAAACATATGGCCCGCGGTATGACAACGCTAACAGAACATGGTATTGCGTTGTGCTCGCTCACGTGGCTTGTTATTTTATCGGCTCCGGCACTCTTTCGCTATGTGGCTAATGCCATTGCATCTAAAGCACTTTCTGATATGAACTTCCGTGCTTTGCATTGGCTGGGCCGTCGCTGCCACAACAAAAAGCGTATGTCAGAAAGTGCTTAACATGCAATTGTTTAAACCTATCCTGTCATTCATTTAATCAAGCTCGCGAGGCAGGTTAGAATCTCTAAAAATAGTCGGAAAGAAATTACTCCGCTAAGTCTTGTTCTAGCGAAATACGTGTGAACCATGGCTAAAAGTGAAATATCCAACATTGATTTGAAAATGTAGGAAATGAAATGTTACTTTTAAGTACGATTTCAGCAAGTTTTATGTCAAAGAAACGTAAGTGTGAAGATAAAATTCTTAGATGATTCTTTCATTTTTTTTCTTTTTTTGTTGTTTTTATTGTATATTTTTCAGGCTTTTTTTTATCGCAACACCCCGATCGCCATTCTTCGATCGTGGACCGAAAATAACCTTCAACGAGATTTGAATTCTTATCCTCTTTGCGTTTCCGTAGCTACACCATACCGACTATGCTAAGAAGTTTCACTGTGCATGGATCATTCAAGTTGTATATTTTTTATCCTCCGAATACCACATGGCACTTTTTTTAATTACAATTTAAACTATTGCTATAAAATTATTCCTTTTATGACACATTTTTCAGGAAGTGATCATGGCTCGTCAAAAGTTTCCATTTTGTATTATTTTAAGGAAATCGGAAGCCCTTTACCATCTAACTTTGTTTTGGGGATTTTTTTCGGCCATCTATCAATTCCGAATAATGGAGGTTACTCACTTTCACCTTGCTTTTTTTTTTTTTGCTTTCACTACGCCCTGCGAGTGTCAAATTCTCTCTGCATACTTTCCTCCTTATGCGAAAAACTTTCAGCTATCTTAGATTTTTTACATTATTTGGACTATTGTCCTCATCTTTGTCGCTATATTTGTTACAACGTTTCGGCCGTTGTACGCTCCGGCCTTATTCAGATGGTTTGAATGTCGAACTTTATTTCGCTCACTGGGATAGACTGTTCTAGTTCCACGTGCCATGTTTAATCGACGTCAATTATCAGTTATCTCCTGTTAATTTTCCCTCTGAAAGTTCTCCAATGCCTTAATCGGGTATTGAACTCACACTCTTTGGGTCCTGTCACTGGATCTAACCAACACCTTTATCCACTGTGCCATGTGTCTGGAGCGTACAACGGCCGAAACGTTGTAACAAATATGGCGACAAAGATAAGGAAAATAGTCCGAATAATGTAAATAATGTACATAATACCTCATCTCAGAAATATAGACAGATATCTTAGATTTGTTTAGCGTTTTCGTTGTACCTCCTATTTTCCTGAAAACTTCCTCATTTGTCAGATACTTAGTCTCTATCATGTAGACAACATACTTTCATCCGTTTGAACGCCTTTCTTCTTCGTCTGAGAGGATACATGGCAGTAAATGCTGAACAATAAGGCAGTGTATATTACACAGTCTTTTTATTTTTATTTCATTGTCTTTTACGATTTTCGGTTCATTTCATTCATATTCGCCTGACAAGTTTTGAAAGAGACGCCTCGTTTACCGCTTGTCTCGCTTTGTGACTGAAATTTTTACTGTACGATGTAAGTCTACAATATTATATCCAATATCCAGAGAGAGAGAGAGAGAGAGAGAGAGAGAGAGAGAGAAAGAGAGAGAGATGTGTGTATGTGAATAAAGGTAAACTTATTTTAGCCGACGTGGTTCGTCCTCTGATCGACTTTATCAAGTTCAATGACATTTCCCTTGATAAAACCCCTCAGAGTGCAAAATGCGTCGGTTAGAATGAGTTCTCAGATTGTTATTTTACTGATAGGAAATTATATATATATATATATATATATATATATATATATACACATATGAGAGAGAAGGAATAGACGGAGTAAAATTCTAATGTTCGTACCATTTACTTTTTTAAAAAAGTGCTCAATACAAAGTAAAGCAATATATCATTATTTTTATTATTAGAGATTATAATAAAACCTGTTGAAATCGCTACGCAAAAGCTTACATGTTTCAATACTACGATTTTACTTCTCCAGGCAATGGTAAGTAACTGGAGATGAATTGATTTTTAAGAAAAATTTAAAACAAGTGTTACCTCTTTCTGAAACTTAAAGTGGGGGCATGAGGTAAGAATTAAAAATGGACTTGTGGCCAAGTCTTGATTAACCAATTAAATGTCAGATCTGCGTTGAATAGAAAAGTAAGAGGGTGGATGTGGGAGAGTTATTTTTTTCATGCCACAATAAACCGGAACATAGACAGGCCATCATTGACAAATGCGGAATAATATATATATAATAGAGAGAGAGAGAGGGGGGCGTCAGTTTACATTGATGACAGGGAAAGTATTGATCCAGTACTTAATTTCGGAAAGGTATCTTGAATTATTATGTCTTCGCATTTCCTTGGACCGCTTAAGTTTTAGTTTGAAAATTTATTTTAATATAACCACGTTGCATTTAATAGCCAATCGTGATAAATTTATTGTTTTAAATTCGTATTTTTCCAACTATCGCTATTCAGTCTTCAAGAAGCAGGGATCAGACATAAAGAATAAGCAGTACTTGAACTTGCATTTCTTGCATCTTTGGGATCCTCTCCTTTTCATGACAACACCGTTGCTGGTTTAAAAGCGAAATTTTGACCGCCAGGCGTTATTCAGATAAACCAGATAATAGCATTGTTTGTTTCTCCAATTGTGACTACGCCGCCATTTTGTTATTTACAGGATGTCCCCAGGTTACGATGACCTGTATTTATGAGAAGCCTGCATGACAATGGATGTGCACTTGCTTCGTACGCACAACTGAAATTCCCGAAATTATATCGTACAACAGCCACTTTGTAATGTTATCCTATAAATAACCTTTTGTCAGTTTTATGTGTGTGTGTTGTGTGCATGGATGTTTTAAAGCTTAGAGAGAGCTTCAGTTGACACGACCACGAAACGGGAGCTGGTATGTATTGATAAAAATACCCGGAAGTTGTCACATGTTCATCCAGCAATGCCCACTGTCCCAAAAATGGAACAGTAGGCATTAATGGATTATAGGTAGAAACATAATTTATATGCTGTAGTGCTTAAGTACGAGTGGGATCATGGCTCTCCACGACTTTCTGCTCTTGTTGCTCTAAACAACTTGACTTTTTACAATTAGTATTATCTTTGACATTCATTCACACCAAATGCATAGCATAAGCAAGTCGTCTTTTCTCCACTGCTTTCGAGCGTAGAGCTCTGTGTGTGTGTTAATTATTCCAGGCCGTATTTCTTCGTAATGTGTCCCGGAATTTTCAACTTAAATTTAAGTGGCTTTACCGAAATATTTTTAAATTATAATTAATACTGGATTTTTATTTTTTTATAATTCATACCGGATATTATGATGGACGTTATGATGGGTTAATTTTATTGCATTAAACTTTGCCATTTGAATGAAAAATAATGGGGGGGGTGATATTGCATAAAAATGATGTATTTCACCCTCTTCTTTATGCAGTAAATGCTTTTACATTTTGTTTTTTATTTGGAAATGCCATAAGTGATTAGCTTTTTAGAGTGTTGCGGCGCTAAGCAGGTTGACTGTTAACCCCGCAAACGGAAAAATAATATAAGATAATACGATCGAAGCAAGGACAACAAAAACGAGGATGTCAAAGTTTAAGCCAAATTTTATTAAATAAATCTGGCACGAATATATACAGCTAATCGTTTGTAGTAGTTCGGTCGTGTAGTCTTGGAGGAGCGTTGTCAGGTTTCAAGGCGACAGCTTGGAGGTAGGCCGAATGGAAACAGGGATGTCCGAGGTCCAGTCGATCCCTGGATGTCTGTACTTGAGTAAAGGGTGCGTCGGCGCTTGCAGAGAGAGAGGATCGACGCGACAGTGCTGTGGTGTAGTCAGTTCGTCCTTGGGTGGAGGTCGCGCAGGATCGCAGCTTGGTAGTCCTAATAAAAGGACGCGGCTAGGTTAGTCCTGAAAAGGACTATTGCATATTATGTAATCGAGGGCAGACTACTGCATATCATGTAACCGAGGATAGGCTAGTGCATATCATGTAACCGAGTGTAGGCTAGTGCATATCATGTAGCCGAGGATAGGCTAGTGCATATCATGTAACCGAGGATAGGCTAGTGCATATCATGTAGCCGAGGATAGACTAGTGCATATCATGTAACCGAGGATAGGCTAGTGCATATCATGTAGCCGAGGATAGACTAGTGCATATCATGTAGCCGAGGATAGGCTGCTGCTGATATCTGCTGGCCTTGGCTGCTGCTGATGAGGAGGCCGGACTGCTCTGCTGGCTCTAGCTGCTGCTGCTGCTGATGATGAGGAGGCCGGACTGCTCTGCTGGCTCTAGCTGCTGCTGCTGCTCCTTTTGGGCGTATTCCAGCTTATGAGGAGGAAGTCGTCGTGGGTGGGAAAAGGTAGGCTGTCCACTGGTCTTTATATGGTGCTGTGTTTGGTGTCTTGCCGGACCGGTACCTGCGAGTGGTTGAATGAGGTCCGAGTATCTGTTTAGGATCTCGATGTACTCTCGTCCGTGGCAAGTTGTCACACTGATCCCAGTGGTGTTGTGTCGAGAGAGGGTGCCTTTAACAGCAATGTTCGTGGTATTGTCTGATAAAGTTCTCGTATTCATGTGCACGGCTAGATCATAATGGGCCAGGAAATCTGCACCGAGTATTGGCGTTTTTACGTCTGCCTGGGTGAAAGTCCATGTAAAATCGCGCCGCATACCGATGTTCAGAGTCAGTGTCTTGGCTCCATATGTCTCGATCGTCGAGCCATTTGCTGCCTGAGTTTATACGGGGTCGCCTTTCGGTCTTGCTGTTCTTTGGGGGGTATCACACTGATAGCTGCTCCTGTGTCCACTAGAAACTTTATGTTGTTCCGTCGGTCCCATACGTAGAAGAGGCGGCTTCGTATGTTTTTGCCGGGGGTTCTGCCGCTCCTACCCGCCGGCTGTTTAGTTTTCCGACTTGGTTTTGGAGCTGTATTTGCAGGGTGCCGAGCAATTCTTTTGCCCTGGTGCCGAATCTGTGATGGTACCAGCATAATTCCGGTCGACTCGTCGACCCCTGCTGGTACTCCGTGCTCTCCGTCGCCAACCGCCGGTCGCCGGCATCGGGCCTCTCGATGTGCGGGAAAGTAGCATTCGTATATCCTGCAGCTGATGCTGCAGGTCAGCTACCGCCTTTTCCAGGTCCGTTTCTTTGGCTGATGTGTCGTCTGGGCGTTGCACGGCACACACTCCTTGGTCCAGTTTAGTTGCGATGCGGTCAGCGGAGTTTGCTAACTGGTCCAGTGGAGTGTTATCAGCGATTGCGCCAATATCTGCGTTATGGTAGTGGGTAACTTGTCCATCCACAGTTCGCGCAAGATTGATTCGGCCATGGAATGTTTCCCCAGTCGGCTCCTCATGAAGCGTAGAAGCTGTGAGGGTGTTCTGTCGCCCCTGGTGACGTGGGTAAAAAGTTCCCGAGCAGTTCCTCGTCCGAACGGCCGGTTCGTTTCAGAATAGCCTCCTTGAGGCGAGTATATGGCTCCTGCTCGGGTACGTGTTCCAAGATGTCGGCTACTTCGTCGACAACTGAAGGTGGCAAAACTTGTACCACGTTGACGAATTTTGCTTGTTGTGATGTGATTTTCCGTACCGAGAAAATGGCTTCCAGCTGTAAAAACCAGTTCTTGGTGTTCTGCTCGTTGTACGGAGGGAGGTTTGTGAGTGGCATTGCCACATTTATGAGAGTGTTCTTTTCCCACTCGTCAGTTGCCATCTTGCTCGATCGTAAATATCGGGGTCACCACTTGTTGCAGCGCTAAGCAGGTTGACTGTTAACCCCGCAAACGGAAAAATAATATAAGATAATACGATCGAAGCAAGGACAACAAAAACGAGGATGTAAAAGTTTAAGCCAAATTTTATTAAATAAATCTGGCACGAATATATACAGCTAATCGTTTGTAGTCAGTTCGTCCTTGGGTGGAGTGTCGCGCAGGATCGCAGCTTGGTAGTCCTAATAAAAGGACGCGGCTAGGTTAGTCCTGAAAAGGACTATTGCATATTATGTAATCGAGGGCAGACTACTGCATATCATGTAACCGAGGATAGGCTAGTGCATATCATGTAACCGAGTGTAGGCTAGTGCATATCATGTAGCCGAGGATAGGCTAGTGCATATCATGTAACCGAGGATAGGCTAGTGCATATCATGTAGCCGAGGATAGACTAGTGCATATCATGTAGCCGAGGATAGGCTGCTGCTGATATCTGCTGGCCTTGGCTGCTGCTGATGAGGAGGCCGGACTGCTCTGCTGGCTCTAGCTGCTGCTGCTGATGATGATGAGGAGGCCGGACTGCTCTGCTGGCTCTAGCTGCTGCTGCTGCTGATGATGAGGAGGCCGGACTGCTCTGCTGGCTCTAGCTGCTGCTGCTGCTGATGATGAGGAGGCCGGACTGCTCTGCTGGCTCTAGCTGCTGCTGATGTCTGCTGGCCTTGGCTGCTGCTGCTTCGTGTGGTCAGCGTAGGTGAGAGGGGGGAGCTCGTCGCTCAACCCCGAGGCCAAAAATCAGCCGAGAAGAAGGTATTTACTTGATTCCCACTAAATCAAGATATGACACAAGGTCGATTAACGTGGGAGACCCGAGTTCCCCCAGCCACCGGGAGGCCACTGGTCAAAATATTGGTCAGAGCTTGTCCAAGCTGGTCAGAGCCTAGTCAAAGCTGGTCATAACTTGTCCTAACAGGTCCAGGCCGAAGCCAGTCCAAGCTAGTCAAAGCTTGATCGAATCTCAGTCTTCCGCCAAGAAACGATCCATTAATTGTCAAAACCCCCAGCCGAAGCCGGAAGAAGGTATTTACTTGATTCCCACTAAATCAAGATATGACACAAGGTCGATTAACGTGGGAGACCCGAGTGTTTCCACTCATAGGCCACTGGTCAAAATATTGGTCAGAGCTTGTCCAAGCTGGTCAGAGCCTAGTCAAAGCTGGTCATAACTTGTCCTAACAGGTCCAGGCCGAAGCCAGTCCAAGCTAGTCAAAGCTTGATCGAATCTCAGTCTTCCGCCAAGAAACGATCCATTACTTGTCAAAACCCCCAGCCGAAGCCGGAAAGAAGGTATTTACTTGATTCCCACTAAATCAAGATATGACACAAGGTCGATTAACGTGGAGACCCGAGTGTTCCACCATAGGCCACTGGTCAAAATATTGGTCAGAGCTTGTCCACTGGCTGGTCAGAGCCTAGTCAAAGCTGGTCATAACTTGTCCTAACAGGTCCAGGCCGAAGCCAGTCCAAGCTAGTCAAAGCTTGATCGAATCTCAGTCTTCCGCCAAGAAACGATCCATTACTTGTCAAAACCCCAGCCGAAGCCGGAAAGAAGGTATTTACTTGATTCCCACTAAATCAAGATATGACACAAGGTCGATTAACGTGGGAGACCCGAGTGTTTCCACTCATAGGCCACTGGTCAAAATATTGGTCAGAGCTTGTCCAAGCTGGTCAGAGCCTAGTCAAAGCTGGTCATAACTTGTCCTAACAGGTCCAGGCCGAAGCCAGTCCAAGCTAGTCAAAGCTTGATCGAATCTCAGTCTTCCGCCAAGAAACGATCCATTACTTGTCAAAACCCCCAGCCGAAGCCGGAAAGAAGGTATTTACTTGATTCCCACTAAATCAAGATATGACACAAGGTCGATTAACGTGGGGAGACCCGAGTGTTTCCACTCATAGGCCACTGGTCAAAATATTGGTCAGAGCTTGTCCAAGCTGGTCAGAGCCTAGTCAAAGCTGGTCATAACTTGTCCTAACAGGTCCAGGCCGAAGCCAGTCCAAGCTTGTCCAGTCAAAGCTTGATCGAATCTCAGTCTTCCGCCAAGAAACGATCCATTACTTGTCAAAACCCCCAGCCGAAGCCGGAAAGAAGGTATTTACTTGATTCCCACTAAATCAAGATATGACACAAGGTCGATTAACGTGGGAGACCCGAGTGTTTCCACTCATAGGCCACTGGTCAAAATATTGGTCATAGCTTGTCCAAGCTGGTCAGAGCCTAGTCAAAGCTGGTCATAACTTGTCCTAACAGGTCCAGGCCGAAGCCAGTCCAAGCTTGATCGAATCTCAGTCTTCCGCCAAGAAACGATCCATTAATTGTCAAAACCCCCAGCCGAAGCCGGAAAGAATAATTTGATGGAAAAAAGATATGACGGTCGTTAACGTATAGACCCGAGGCTGAGGACGGTCAAAATATTGGTCAGCCAAGCTGGTCAGCGATATATTTGGGGTCCAGGCCGAAGCCAGATGAATGAAAATTACTTCCGCCAAGAAACGATCCATTACTTTTTGGCTGTACACATGGATTCCATTCGGACACCATGTGTATATAAAGTAGTTTCTGGTAATTGTTTTTGGTTAGGAAAGTTAGTATATGTAAATGTTTCGTTTTTTCTTAGTTTGTGGAGACGTTGACTGAAAACCTGAGTGTTTCCACGCTTAGTCACCGGAAGTTAACGGCATTCGTTATGTTTTCCGCGGTGACGCTTTTAGATGTTTGAGTAGCCGGCAGTAACTTCCGGCCGGGTGCGATAAGAGCGCAGCATAAACATGCACAACTCCAGAAACGGTCAAAACAGGCTTTCTACCTCCTCGTCACTTGAGGATGAAATGTATTTTGCATGATTAGTAATCAGTTACTATATATTGGTAAGATGATATTGTAGGGGTCGTATTTTTTTTTAACACGATAAGTTGAAGGCATTCATTCGAAATATTAATTAAAAAAGAAAAGGGAATTATAATATTCGACGTCTTTAGATTTCCTGCTTATTTTTTTTTTTTTTTTTTGAATGAAAATTACTTTTTTTGTTTTGCTTGTTTTTAAATGTTCGTTTTTTCTTAGTTTGGTTCGGGTTTGTTTGTTTTTGTTTCTTTTTTTTTTGTTTGTTTCGTCTTTTTTTGGTTTGGTTTTTTTTTTTTGTTTTCGGTTTGTTTGTCTTTTGTTTCTTTTTTTTTTTTTGTTTGTTTTTTGTCTTTTTGTTTTTTTCTTTTGTTTGTTTTTTTTTGTCTTTTTTCTTTCTTTTTTGGTTTGTTTGTCTTTTGTTTCTTTTTTTTTTTTTTGGTTTGTTTGTCTTTTGTTTCTTTTTTTTTTTGGTTTGTTTGTCTTTTGTTTCTTTTCTTTTTTGGTTTGTTTGTCTTTTGTTTCTTTCTTTTTTGGTTTGTTTGTCTTTTGTTTCTTTTCTTTTTTTTGGTTTGTTTGTCTTTTGTTTCTTTCTTTTTTGGTTTGTTTGTCTTTTGTTTCTTTTTTTTTTGGTTTGTTTGTCTTTTGTTTCTTTTCTTTTTTGGTTTGTTTGTCTTTTGTTTCTTTTTTTTTTGGTTTGTTTGTCTTTTGTTTCTTTTTTTTTTGGTTTGTTTGTCTTTTGTTTCTTTCTTTTTTGGTTTGTTTGTCTTTTGTTTCTTTTTTTTGGTTTGTTTGTCTTTTGTTTCTTTTTTTTTTGGTTTGTTTGTCTTTTGTTTTTTTTTTTTTTTTTTTGTTTTTTTTTTTTTCTTTTTTTTTTGTTTGTCTTTTGTTTCTTTTTTTTTTGGTTTGTTTGTCTTTTGTTTGTCTTTTTTTTTGTTTGTTTTTTGTTTTTTTCTTTTTGGTTTTTTTCTTTTTTGTTTTTTTTGGTTTGTTTTGTCTTTCTTTTCTTTTTTTGTTTTTCTTTTTTGTTTGTCTTTTGTTTCTTTTTCTTTTTTTGGTTTGTTTGTCTTTTGTTTCTTTTCTTTTTTTGGTTTTGTTTGTCTTTTGTTTCTTTTTTTTTTGGTTTGTTTGTCTTTTGTTTCTTTTCTTTTTTTTTCTTTGTTTGTCTTTTGTTTCTTTCTTTTTTTTTTTTTTGTTTGTCTTTTGTTTCTTTTCTTTTTTTTTTGGTTTTTGTTTCTTTTCTTTTTTTGTTTTGTTTCTTTTTGTTTGTTTTCTTTTTGGTTTGTTTTTGTTTGTTTTTTTCTTTTTTGGTTTGTTTGTCTTTTGTTTTTTTTTTTTTTGTTTGTTTGTCTTTTGTCTTTTTTTTTTGGTTTGTTTTGTCTTTTGTTTCTTTTTTTTTTTTGGTTTGTTTGTCTTTTTTCTTTCTTTTTTTTTTTTTTTTTGTTTGTTTGTCTTTTTTTTTTTTTTTTTTTTTGTTTTGTTTGTCTTTTTCTTTCTTTTTTTGGTTTTTTGTTTTTTGTTTTTTTTTTTTTTTGTTTTTTTTTTTGGTTTGTTTGTCTTTTGTTTTTTTTGGTTTGTTTGTTTTTTTTCTTTTTTTTGGTTTTTTTCTTTTGTTTCTTTTTTTTTTTTTTTTTTTCTTTTTTTGTCTTTTGTTTTCTTTTTTTTTGGTTTTTTTGTTTTTTTTTCTTTCTTTTTTTTTGTTTGTCTTTTGTTTCTTTTTTTGGTTTGTTTGTCTTTTGTTTCTTTTTTTTGGTTTGTTTGTCTTTTGTTTCTTTCTTTTTTGGTTTGTTTGTCTTTTGTTTCTTTTCTTTTTGGTTTGTTTGTCTTTTGTTTCTTTTCTTTTTGGTTTGTTTGTCTTTTGTTTCTTTTTTTTGGTTTGTTTGTCTTTTGTTTCTTTTGGGGGGTATTATTTAGTTCTTTTTTGTTACATTTTTGGTTTCGTCTGTTTGTTTGTTTTGCAGTTTTTCGCCAGTTTTTTTTTTTTTTCGTTTTCTAGTTTTTTACGCCAAATACAAGGCAAAATTTCAACTCGGGTTTCTGATTGTGATTCTTGTGAAGGAAAGTGGGCGAACAAAAAGTGAATGTTAAGATCTGTAGGATAGATAAGAGTTGACCCTAACCTTCAAAAGGTCAAGATTGTAATGGTTAAAGAATCATCAACCCATGAGTCTGTTCAACAAAGAAAGGTTTATGGAGAAGAATCTCTATGGAACTTGTTCCTTACCAAAGGAACACGGAGGAAATGGGACGATTTGAATTTGTGAAAATGGCATGACGTGTTGTAATTGTAAAGGTCTGAGCTACGGTGGGGTGACTCTTTAAACATGAATAGCGACACACTGTCAGCTGCGAAAGAAAATGAAAAAAAAATGTTCTCCACTTGGTTATTATACACTTCGCTAACCTTCTTGGACATTTGGAAAGGTTTCTTTCGTCCGAAATAGTCGTGTTATATTTTGTCTTTAGTTGTAAGTGCGCCATTTGGCTTGCCTCCAATATTTAAATTCCATACAGACTTGTATTGGCGCTTCCTCCAAATTGCTAAGCCGTCAGAAGATCCATGCATTATTTGGGCATGTTCCGAATAAAACTAACGAATATCTGTCTATATATCTGAGAGGAGGTATTATGATTTATTTACATACTTACATTATTCGGGCTGTTATCCGCATCTTCATTGCCATATTCACAACGTTACGGCGTTTTACGCTCCGGCCTTCTTCAGGTGATTGGATCTTCGAACAGAACACTTTATTTCGTCCACTGGTGTAGATTGTTCTAGTTCCACATTCCATGCCTCTTCCGAATCTCTCAGTTATTTCCCTTTAATTCAACCCTCCAAATTTTTTGGTTCATCACTGCTGTAGTCTGGTATTGATCTCACAACCCTTTGGGTCTAGTCACCGGATCTAAGCAACGCCTTCATCCTCTGGGCTATATGATCTCGAACAAAGCATGGGTTCAAGACATCCGTATACCGTAAGCCTACATTCTATTATTTATATTAGTTGGACTGTTATCTTCATCTACACAGCCACATTCACAACGTTTCGGCCGTTGTAAGCTCCGACCTTCTTCAGGTGATTGGAATTTCGAACCGGAGGAAGCATAGCACGTGGAACTAGAACAATCTACCCCGGTGGACGAAATAAAGAGTTCGGTTCGAAATCTCAATCACCTGAAGAAGTCCGGATCGTACAACGGCCGAAACGTTGGGAATATAGCAATGAAGAGGACATTAACAGTCGGAATAATGTAAATAAAACTAATTCTTTGTTATATGTTGGCCAGTTAATTATAATCTTGCAATGGTCGAGTATCGAAATTGAAAGTTTAAATTTTTTGATGAATATTTTCGCTTGACATTTTCTGCAATGATGCCTAAACATTTGCAAATTTAAGCGCGGTACCAATTCGGCGGTAAGGTCTCATCATTTTACAGTTGAAATGGCAAGATGTAAACGTAACTTCTATAGTAGCAGTTCCATCTCTCACACTTCTTGCTTACCAATGAACTTTGATCTTCAAAGATTTAAATGTCGTGTCAATAGTTATCATGTCTTCATTCCTGTTCTTTTTATCCTCTTTAAAAGGATCTTGCCACAATCCGTATCCCCTTTTCTCTTCATGACTTTATTGCTTTGCTTGGACTGAAATGCTTAACGTCATATGTTGCTTCTCGTTTAAGAAAATTCCTGGGTGCACAATTAAAATGAACGAGTAAAATTGCTTCTGGGTCTCTTAGCTGTATGCGTAGGAGTGATACATAGATACAAAAAAAAGCAGCAATAGACAGATAAAAAAAATCAAATAGACACTGTAATGACATGTAAAGGTATGTATGTAATCATTTGAGCATGAAGTCCTCGGTATAATAATAAACTATTTCCGGTAGCAAGGCCTCTGATCGGAGTGAGGGGTTGAGGAGCGTGGAACCACCCCTTAACTCCTGCTGTTCCCAGATATACCTTAACTCTAGGTGGTAGCATCTGTTAGGGCCCCAACTATGGTCAAATAGTTAACTACCAAACTGGGGTCAAAACACTATGAAAGTATAAAGTATTAAACTACTCATAAAAAATTGATATGCAGCTAAACAAATTTGTTTTTTGGAGGAGACACACACTATATAAACTTGAATAGTCATGAAGCGGACAAATTTCGCGAGTGTCAGTTGTGAGCACTATTACTACACATCACAAGATACCTTAAAATATATGTAATATTAGTTGTAAAAAATAATTAATATAGAGACTGTGGTTTGTAAGAATAGTTTGCTTGCAAGGAGTACATACACTGACGAATATATATAGTGTGCCGGAATTATATCCCACATCACGATCCGACATTCCCCGCTGTAGATGTGTACATAAGTTGTTTTGGTTTCTTTTTTTTTTTTCGTTTTTGTTTCTTTTTTTTTTTTTTTCGTTCGTTTGTTTTTTTTTTTTTTTTTTTTGTTTTCGTTTTTTGTTTGTTTTTTTTTTTTTTTTCGTTTTTGTTTGTTTTTTTTTTGTTTTCGTTTTTGTTTTTTTTTTCTGTTTTCGTTTTTGTTTGTTTTTTTTTTGTTTTCGTTTTTGGTTGTTTTTTTTTTTGTTTTCGTTTTTGGTTTTTGTGCTTTGTTTTTTGACACGGGCGAATAAATACGCCCAAAACAACTCTCAAAAACCGGCTATGACTTGTTTATATATAGATTTGATTAGTTTGTTTATGCCTTTCTTAGCTTGAAATGAGTCCAATTATCAACTCCTATGTCCGTTAGAGGTGTTAATCTCCGCTCAGGTACTTAAAGGTGCCTCAGTTTGTTAGTTACTATATTAAAAACAAATTAGAAAAAAAAATTGCTAGAAAATTATTTTTTCCCCAAAATAACTGGCGGGAAAGTGGGTTAGGTAAAACCTATATTTATTAATAATAAATTAGCAAGCTTACTACAAATCATGCACCAATATTATTAAAAAAAATTTTCTTTATATGTAACAATATGTCTATTTTCTATTATATGGTGAACCACACAGCATTATCAGAAAATAATAGGCGGTAACTATTGCAAATTTATAACCAAAAATATTTACAATTCAGTAAATCAATAGATTACGGAGAAAATTTTCTAAAATTTATAATTTTACTGAGTAGTTACAAATTTATATACAGTAGGCGCTCACGTTAATTCACTTACTTTTTAACGCTTAACTCCCCCCACCCCATATAACAACATTAGATAACTATCAATATGTCAACTAGCTGTCAAATCAGAACGCCTTAAATAAGCAGTTACTGTCAGGTTGAAAAATCTATTTTTTTATACTTTTATACGTAAAGTAAATAATAATCGTTTCAAATCAGATTAATTATACTTTAAATCCGCTAATATTTCTCAAATAAAGTTTCAGAAAAGTATATTTTCTTTTTTGGAAGACTGCGATGAAAGACTATTAAAAAGCAAAGAAACTCCTTCCAGTCAATTTAAATTAGTTTTTGAAATACAGCAAAGTATTTTGCTTATTTTGAATATTAAATTAAATCTATTAGCTTGAAACTAAAATAAAAGCTTCGAGAAATATTTTCTTATTCTTTAAAAATTCATTTAAACCTTAGGTGTCACGATTATTTTTTTATTTATTTTTTTATTTTTTTTTTTTTAGTCAAAATATTGATTTCAGTTGGTTAAGTCAGGCTCACGGCTACATCAGTAGAGCCCTCCGAGAAAGAAGCGCTTTCCGATGACAATTTACTTTTTCTTGAACTATGGTAGACGCCTTCTAGTTTATTCGCTTCGTCTGGCACTAACCGCGATATGTGGCTCACGAAACTCGCGACGCTAGAATTGAATGGCAAAACATGATTGTCAGACATGATATCACGGTAGTTATCATAATGCTAAGACTGGCACAACGCCATATTAGCGTTCTCAACTAGTGAGGATTTTGGTAAACACTGCATTATGGTAAACAGCTTCTTTTGACTAGAGTATAGGCGAACCTGATGAAGCTATTCGGTGAAACTAATGTAAAAGATGTAAAAGATGTTATCGCTTCTACGAAGAATATGAGTTATATTTGAATATTTTTAAAATTAATTCATCTCAGTCTTGTCATTTTCAGTGAACTTTTTTAAAATGTAAAAAGAAACTGAAGCTATTGTTTCTTTGTTGGGTAGAGAAAGAAGCTCCGAACAATTTCCGGTATAAGATTAAAAAATAAATAAATAAATGGTGGGGACTTTGTACTTTGTGTTGCAAAAAAAAAAAATTGTCATTCCTTGATGTTTAGATTCTACTCATTATGAAAGATTCGATTAAAAATATCTGATGTGTATTAATTTTCAAACAAGAGGCAACATAAGCATACAAAATAATTTCCTTTCCCCAAAGACGAATCTCTGGGATTTTTTTTTCTTATCCTCGTTTTCTCTTTTTTTTTCTCTCTCTCTCTCTAGAGTCTCTCTTTTTCCTTTTTTTTCTAGCGTCTCTTTTGTTTTTTCTAGCGTCTCTTTCTCTCACTTTCTCTCACACTTCTCTCTCTTTCTCTTCTCTCCCTCACTTCTCTCTCTTTCTCTTCTCTCTCTTTCTCTTCTCTCTCTTTCTCTTCTCTCTCTTTCTCTTCTCTCTCTTTCTCTTCTCTCTCTTTCTCTTCTCTTCTCTCCTCTTCTCTCTCTTTCTCTTCTCTCTCTTTCTCTTCTCTCTCTTTCTCTTCTCTCTCTCTTCTCTCTTTCTCTTCCTCTTCTCTCTCTTTCTCCTCTCTCTCTTCTCTTTCTCCTCTCTCCTTCGCTCTCTCTCCTATTCTCTTTCTCTCCTTCTCCTATTCTCTTTCTCTCCTTCTCTACTCTCTCTTTCTGTTCTCTCTCTCACCTCTCCTTGCCTCTTCTCTTTCCTCTCCTTCCCTCTTTCCTCTCCTTCCCTCTTCTCTTTCCTCTCCTTCCCTCTTCTCTTTCCTCTCCTTCCCTCTTCTCTTTCCTCTCCTTCTCTCTTCTCTTTCCTCTCCTTCTCTCTCTTTCTTCTCTCAGAATAAGCCCTTTGCAAGTGTAGCGATATTTAAAATTCAAATTGTAGGTGAAAGATGGTAAAGTTGGAAATGTTATAATAATTGATCACGCAAACTAATTTAGAAAGCTTTATTTATCTTGAAGTTCATTTAATCACAACTGGATTGATAATGATTGTGCTTTTTTCTTCTTTTGTTTTCTTTTTTTAAGTGTCCTCAAGGGATGCCATTTTTCTCACTTATTACTGAAGGAAGGAGGACTCGAAACAATTTTGCAGCTAGCGATTAATTCTAACCTTCCTCTATTTAATAATATAGCTGTTCAAATATTACACAATGATTTAAGATATAAAATTATAAATTGCGGTGAAAAAGCATATTTCACATTACAAAGGACTAATTGTATTTTCTCAGAGGGTGTGAATGTCAGATTAGAATAAGATTTCCAGAAATGGGCGGTATTTACGGTAAAGATACAATACCTTGCTTTTGTTGAAAAGGGAACCTTAATAAATACATTGAACAATCGAAGCGATAAGAACAGATGAGATTATATATATTCATAGATTTTCTTTAATTAATTTAGATATAACAGGCTATCAATTTTTTGTAAATAGTTCCGGTTTCTTTCCAAATAGAATTAATGAAAATTGAATTGTCGAATCGTTAAGACTATGGAAACGAACCTTTGATTAGTTCTATCAACGAGAGTGTATCAATAAATATCAGTAAATTGTGTAAATACCTTATTTATTGAAATGAAGACTTCCTAGAAGAAAGATTTAGTACTGAGAAAATGATCATTCAAATTAGAGATTCGAAAACATTGTTCAAATTATCATGCGTTCATTTCTAAGGTAATTTATTTTTTTTAAATCATTTCACGCCAAGCAAGGCAATAAAGCCACTAAGATGTAAGTGGTTACTGAAAGAATAAGAGAAACATTAAGGACAGATAACCTGAATTAATCAATAAATGATTAATATTGCACACACACACACACACACACACATATATATATATATATATATATATATATATATAATATTTCTGGAAAATCAAGAAGACGTAAGAGTTTCACAATTTGTAAGTGCGAGAGAAGTAACTGTTAGGGTTCAATCTAGCTATTTCATCTGTAAAATGCTGAGACCTAACCACCAATTTAAGCATACAATTTTGTGAAGGTCAGTACTGATTTGAGAAGAGATTATCTTTTTCTTCTTTCGTTTTTTGTTTCCGAGAGGGAAGAAATGGGAGGTGATACTAGCCAGTGTTTCGGGCGATAACGAATAGTTATCACTAGAATTTGATCTTCGCTTAGGGATTCTATACAAGATATCGCCAGAGCCCGGACCGATGATTAAAAATGTATTGCTCTTGCTTGAATTTGCAACAACGAACGCGTAAAAAAGGAGGCTGTATTTTTCAACAAAATACAGTCAGCTTTTGACGAGTGAGATATTATACCGTTTCGCAATTATTTTATTCCTCTTCCTCCTTTCTTTCTCTCTTCCTCCTTTCTCTCTCTCTCTCTCTCTCTCTTCCTCCTTTCTCCCTCCTTTCTCTCTCTCTCCCTCCTTTCTCTCTCTCTCCCTCCTTTCTCTCTCTCTCCCTCCTTTCTCTCTCTCTCTTCCTCCTTTCTCTCTCTCTCTCTTCCTCCCTCTCTCTTCCTCCCTCTCTCTTCCTCCCTCTCTCTTCCTCCCTCTCTCTTTCTCCCTCTCTCTTTCTCCCTCTCTCTTTCTCTCTCTCTCTCTCTCTCTCTCTCCTCTCTCTCTCTTCATCTCTTTCCTCTCTATCTCTCTTCATCTCTCTTCCTCTCTATCTCTCTTCCTCTCTCTCTCTCTTCATCTCTCTCTCTCTCTCTTTTTCTCCCTTTCTCTTTTTCTCTCTTCTCTCGCTTCTATATACGAAAACGTACGACTGGCCGTGAACGAAAAAATATTAACATGATGAACTTACCTTACGTATTTGCAGTAAAGATTTCGATACTGGAGAAAATTGTTTTGCCTACTATTAAAAAAAAAAAAGAAATTGCTGTACGTTGGCAAAATATTCCTTCATTCAAAAAAACTAAATTCCAGACTAATCCTAACTCTTTCTCGGATCTTTCCAACACACAATTATTAAAAAAATAATTCCATCCAGCCACTCAACTTTTATTCAAGACCCAAGGCTAGAGAATTGTCGAGAGAAGTCAATTAATCTATCCGGAAAAAAATGTTAAAGCGCAGAAAATAATTAGAAATTCCTAGCGGAAAAATAGGGAAGACATCTTGAATTCGTGTTGGGGAACATATAATAATGCATGATAAAATAACGTTTCTCAATACAAAAAAGTTATTTAGGCGAATAATTCGACTTCCGTCTGAGATATATTCCATATTCACTGTGTACAAATGTTCCTTTAGAAAAGGCACTGGTGGCTTGTAGACAAACCAATGAGCCTATTTTACAAGGAAGTAGACATAAGAGTAAAGAAGGAAGGAAGGATATGCTGAGACACCAGGAATTCGGAGAGGCTGTGTCGAAAATCTTCTCGCAGAGGAAGTAGATTCTTATAACAGAAATCTAGTTCTACAGATGGATGCTAAGAATACCATGGACTGAACATGTGAGCAATGAGTAAGTTATAGTGAAAATGCGAACAAAAGTAAACTTGGATATAATATCGGGAAAAGTTTAAATTTCTAGGGCACATAAAGAAAAAGGACTTAGAAAATATGACACTCATATTGAAGGTTAGAGGACTAGAGAAAAGCAGCGTATAACATTCCTAATGAATGTTTGGCAGAACAGGGATCAGAAGATATAGTAAATTCTGTTTGTTTGTTGTTTTCTAGGAACTACAAAGGACAGTAAGTCATGGAGTTATTTACTTCATGGAGGGATAAAGTACAAAGATTTCGTGTCAAAAAGGAATTGGTCAAATTTTGCATAACAAGTAAAAAAATGTTTATACAATAATATTAAAGAAGTTTATATTGTAATAAATTGAGTTGTAGTGGAGGAAATTGTGTAAAATGTTTGTTGAGGAACTCATTTCTTTTTTTTTTTTTTTTTTCTTTTTTTTTCTTTTTTTTTCTTTTTTTTTTTTTTTTTTTTTTTTTTTTTCTTTTTTTTTCTTTTATTTTTATCTTATTTTTCTTTTTTTTTTTTTTTTTTTTTTTTTTGTCTTTTATTTTTCTTTTTTTTCTTTTTTTTCTTTTATTTTTCTTTTTTTTCTTTTTTTTCTTTTTTTTCTTTTATTTTTCTTTTTTTTTTTTTTTTTTTTTTTCTTTTTCTTCTTTTTTTTTCTTTTTTTAAAAGTAAAAAAATGTTTATACAATAGTATTAAAGAAGTTTATATTGTAATAAATTGAGTTGTAGTGGAGGAAATTGTGTAAAATGTTTGTTGAGGAACTCATTTTTTTTTTTTTTTTTTTTTTTTTTTTTTTCTTTTTTTTTTTTTTTTTTTTTTTTTTTTTTTTCTTTTTTTTTTTTTTTTTTTTTTTTTTTTTTTTTTTTTTTTTTTTTTTCTTTTTTTTTTTTTTTTTTTTTTTTTTTTTTTTTTTTTTTTTTTTTTTTTTTCTTTTTCTTCTTTTTTTTTCTTTTTTTAAGAGAATTACTGAAGGGAAAATTACGTTCGTTCGATGAAGGATAATATGAAAATATTTGTAATGCAAGTTCTTTTGTTTATAGTGAGCGATTAAAATAAGTCACTTCTTATAACCGGCCCGAACCTTCTGAAGTGAAGAATCACATGAACAGCCTGTTGTAGTCGTTTAGTCTTACATGAAGCTACTAAAGAAATTGTTTTTGTCGTCTTTGTTGTCTCAAATTGGCTGACAAGCACAAATTTGGGGCTGATTAAAACTAGTGTCTTGGCTGGTCCTAAATTGCTTGTTGAAATCTGTTATATCTAAATTTTGTGGGTGAACACAGCTAATGTATTTTTTGATTTGAAGAAAACGTCTGGTTTTGAGACCGATAAATTTTGGGGTAATACCAACTAGAAGTGTTAGAAAAGTAGTTTTGTTTTCTGTCCCATGTTATCCTTACCGGCATGCCACACGGGTAGATAGAAGAGAAAGTGTGCTTGCATGGTCTGGTATTAATAGCTGAGAAGGTAGTTACGGCCATTAAGAAGCTGACGAAGCCTAGTAAAAAAATAAAACTTAGGAAAAAGTGAAATAACGGAAATATTTTTAAATGCAAGTTGTTTAATATAGATTATAAAGGGAAAAGTTCAATATGTTTATGAAAAGCAAATCCAAGATCAATTAGATTTAATTTATAGTCCAGTGACGTCACGTTATCTTAACCTATGCAGAAAGAGAAAATAGATGTTGTTTTGTTTCGTTTTCTTTCAAGGTAAAGGATTATTATATGTCTATCCATACGGCAGCGGAGAGATAATTTTCCTCCAACAACCAGAAACATTTGAAGAAGACAGGAGATTATAATGATCGAAACGTTGTGAGTGGAAGAACCCAGACAAGAATGCGCGTCTGAAGATTCCGAATGGAAAAGGAATGTCATACTATAAAAAAAAGAGGTCGATCAAACGACGAAGTTTCGTCTTTTTGTAAATGTCTGCATCAATTTTTTTTTAAAAGTATATATCTTTCTCGATATTTTCTCGTCTGACTACCTCCAGCAAATCACTCAAGATTTATTGGTGTAAATAAATCAATTGTGGCACAAGGCTTAAACAGAGCACTCTCCTCTAAAATGCTTGCCAATCAAATGATATACTTACCTTCATTGTGTACCGTCCTTCGATGATCATCGACCGCTTCATATATGCATTTCGCAGTGAATTTGTGGTAATCGCGGCGTTTAAGTTACGTGACTAGTTCACGTGTATTGCCTTATTTTAAGCACAAGTGTCACTTGAACACCTCCTTCTTATTCTTTTTCTTCAACAAAGTCAGTGAATGTTATAATAGCTGATTTAAATTTTATTTCAGAAAATTCTACAATAGAAATACATTAACAAATTTTATAAAGAATATGAATTTATTTTAATGCATGCAAGATACGTTTAACATGCACCCGTCACCAATGATTCACAGCTCGGTTCATAATAGAGAATTTCTTTAACAAATACTGCCAATAATTTGATTTAGTTTTTTTCGTTTTTCCAACGTGTTAAAATGTTCATAGTATTTAGTATTGTTGAAGTTAGCTTTAGAATTTTATTTACAAAGTGAATGGTTCGTTCAATTTCGCAAACAACACGATGAAATTTGAATAAGCTGATTTGTTTGGTGAAATATTTTGAACAAACCCGAGTCCACGGTTTA